TACTCATCACCACCCACCGCTAACTTTTGGGCTACTCTTTTACCAACGAATAGTGGGATTGACTGAAACATTATAACGTCCCCACGGCTGAAAGGGCATACATAACGAAGGGAATGAGTAGTTGTCTTAAAGTAGTTGTCTACTGTCAATTTCATTAGTTAAAAAATAGACCCGCAGTCATAGGTATGATTGTAAATTTTCCAATCAGTTTATGGCTATCAGACACTTTCTGAATATTGGATTATGGAGAATTTTCTGGTATCATTCACGTCTGTTTTTTTTCTTCTCATTCGGTGGAATAGCGGTAAGTCTTTGGATTTACAACCCTAGAATCAGGGTTCAATTCCCCTCGGTGGACACAGCAGATATCCCGATGTGGCTTTGCTATAAAAAAATACACACTGTTTTTTCTTCTTTTTTTAAAATCAAAACTTATCCGTATTTTAATGTAAATTATATTTGTTTCGGATATTCACACAAAGCTACACAAAGACTATCTACGTTAGCCGTCTGTAATTTTGATTTGATAGATTAAAGGGAAGGCAGTTAGTCAACAGCACCCACCGCCAACTTTTGGAGTACTCTTGTCAGACCTAATAGGGACGTTTGTCCGTCACTCGTAATATCGCACACACAATCCCAGAGTGTGTAGAGCGATTTTGCGGCAATGGAACAAACCATGAAACCTCGGATTCACACCCTGGCACGCTAACCGCCCCGGGGTATTCTTATTTATAAGGGGTAATCTCCTACCAAGGGAGGCTAAAACGCGCCAGTAAGGCCAAATCAGTTTGATGGAGTCTAGGAGTAAGAATCTGACACCAGATTTCGTGTTTCTACCCCTCTCAACTCTCTCGAAATCCTGGGAGCGCCATTTTTGAAACTTTTTTCATATTCTACAGACGGATGTCCTAAAGGGGTTTGTTTTCGGGTGCGGGGGGTACCCCTCTTTGAGTAGCTATAAGAGAAATTGAAGACAATAGAGGAACTTGGTCATTACATTGGAGCCTACGTAAATCATGAGCGGCCTTTGAACCCCGCAGCGAAACGCGGTTGTTTTATACTTGTAGAATTGAATATAGGCTCTCCTGGATTCCTAGACTCCCTCTTCCTGTGAGCGGTACTACATCCGTATAAAAACTTTCAATATTTAAATAGTTTCTTAAACTCACTAATAGAACAATCTACAAATACATAAGTTTGTTCATGAGCTATATTACCTTCAGGTTTCCGAAAATGAAAAGATGTTTTCTTTCAACATAGTAACTTTATCTACTTCCATTCCAACTTCTTTAGCTTGCATATGGCATGCTATTGGTTACTCTTGGACATGAATTTACCATCTTGCACTTTGTTAACGGTTGCAGAAATTAGGCATTCTTTGAAATTATGTTTGGTTTGTTTGTTTGAATTTA